GCTTGCAAAGAAAGAAGTGGTCTTATTTTTGGAAACCAAGGCCCGGATATTCAAAACATTTTACAATGTTATATCACATCGGAGCCGCTACAGCGTCGTAAGGCCTCCAAACGCCATACTCGAAACAATACTAGCTGCCATGTTATGACGTCACAGTTTGTAAAGCACTTTGTAAGTTACAAATGTTCCGGGGCTCTCGTACGGGTTTGAAACCGAATACAGTAGTTTATTTCTCGATTACTTAGTCGACAAGATCCTTCATTTTACTATAACATGCCTTTTCCATATCAAATACCGGGGAATTTTCTTAGTTTTCCATGCTTTACCATTATCTTGAATCAAATATAAGTTGAATATAGATTAAACTGACAAACGACAAACAACATTTTAGTGCCTGCTTATCTTCATGACCGAACAACTGCAGCGTGAAAGACACTATTATAGGGAACCCGAAGTTTCTCTCCATGAAAAGGATAAACATTTATTGTAATATCACATATTTCTTTGCCTTGTCTTTAACCTTTCCAACTAAACAATGTTTTCTAGAATTGTTCCGATGATCAGTAACATTTCTGAATATGTTTACACTCAGTTACTTTCATATGATGTTATAATTTTTTGCCAGAAGACGATTGGTAGTTTGTATTACATTTTCTATTTGTGTATAGAGCTTGTACTACGGAATGCTAAGTTATTCTGGAAAATTAAACATAGTTCGTTTAATTTACATCCCTTGGATGAATCTTTGGAAATATCACTCGGGGAGACAGTCGCATAGTGTCGGTCACTGTTGGAGGCGAGGCAATAAGATAGGTGAAATCCATGGCTTTCCGAGGTTGTTACGTCTAGCAGGCTGACTACTGATTAACGATCTGCCCTCTCCTAGTAAATGAAATTAACTTACAATGTGCTTACTACATTGTAAAACTTTTTAGGGTGTGTCTACAATGTAGTAAGGAGATCGGAAGGTGCGATGTGGTAAGGCGGTTACAACGTCCTCGACCTTGTAACGGACGGGGTGGTTTTGAGTATCCCGGACCAAAAATTTTGCAGTGACGGAGCCTAACAATCACTTTCCGTGATGGTTAACGACTAATCCTCCACCGAGTGCCTCATCACTGCTCTGTGGCTCAAGGAAGCGTCCTCAGACCTCTGCTTTGGAAAGTTTTCTTTAATGACATCTTACATCCTACCGGAGGCGTCTGCGTATACGGACGCCTGCACGATGCGAGACGACCATCAACGACAATAGTGCATATCAACCAGACGTTTCAGAACCACATAGTCAGGAATACCAGCCTCCACCACTCAAAGTCTCTACAGTAAGTCAGGACTTGCGTCATCATTTGGCTCCTTAACCAGTAGCAGATGTGCATAATACCTATTATTAATGCTTTAACAGGTCACCTATATATTGCCATAACAAGTTCTTTTCTGTTATAGTATCATTTTTAATGTTCACTCCCAGGAGTACTTACCACAGATAGCTTCGTGTAAAGCAAACTTCTGTAAATGCACTCTCATATTATAGGTTTTAGAGAGAGAGAGAGAGAGAGAGAGAGAGAGAGAGAGAGAGAGAGAGAGAGAGAGAGAGAGAGAGAGAGAGAGAGAGAGAGAGAGAGAGAGAGAGAGAGTTACCTGGATCCATATCCAATGGTATGCTGCGTCTCAATCGAGAAGAGAAAGCTTGCCGTGAAAGTCTCAACCTTTTCGATGCAAATCTTAGCGCCGTCGACGTCGCCGTTGACCTTGATGATCATGTACCAGATGAAGGCGAAAGTAAGCCAGCTGGAGAGACAGCAAGAAAACATCAATGAAGCTTCTTTTTACCACGATCAATTCAGATTTTGTAATAAGTATAACATTGGAAAAAACGCAATTTCTGACGAAGTACTATAAAAACAACAAATAATCAACATACTGATTAGTGTTATATTCTTTGCCGCACTTCTCATTTCCGCGAAATTAATCAAGGGTGAATGATAATGACGAATGAAAGCTTGATAAATATTTTTTTTTTTTTGTAAACTAACGCAGTGAGATGATTACTTTGTAATAAAGTAATGTTACTGCTGACAAAGAATACTACTAAAGAAAATGTTGGATATCTCATGAGACAAAGATGAATTTAGTTAAATTACATCGGGATCAGCATTAGCTAGTAATAATAATACATGAATCAAACCTAACTAACTGGCTGAGTAGAAGCGCCGAAAGGCTCTGGTGAGGGATGGCCAGAGACGAAACAGCGGACGAGGGGAGCGGTGAACACGAACGCAAAATACGATCGCATCTCAGAAAATAACACACGAGAACGAGGCCTACCTAATAATGAAGGCGAGGAAGAAGACCAAGAGGGTCCAGCGCCACTGCACGTCGACGAGTGTAGTGTACAGGTCCTGGAGGTAACGAGACCGTCGCTTCTTCAGGTTCGAGAAGGTGATGTTGCAGTCGCCGTTCTTCCTGATGATGTCTTTGCGCACGCCCGGCCGGAGCAGCC